TTTTCATAATTTTAAAATTTCATGATTAAATTGATTATTTCATTTTTTTAATAAAAATAAAAAAATATTAATTTATTAATGTGAAAATTTGTGAGGAAGGAGGAAAAGATCGTGTGTGGTGACGAGCAGTGCATGTGCGGTAACGATTGTTATAAAAGAAATTCATTTTTTACGTGTTAATTAATTAATTAATTAATTAACTAATTTAATTATTAATTAATTAATTAAGAGCTGGCTCTTACATCATAAGATTAAATAATAATCTCTCTTAACTTCGAGGGTTGCATGAACTAATTACACTCCATGACCCCAAAAGAATCCTATGCGACCATTACCATGACATAATTATTTTCATATTGAAATGTAATTATATCATCGCTCCACATATATATATCATAAAGAAAATGTATTTTATTATATAATTTATCAACATTAGTTATAATTATTATGTCATAATTGACGTAATTAAAAATAATATTATTATAAGTCCAGCTATTTGTGGTCCTTATCAAATAGATAAAATATAAAATAAGTCATGCGAACCCAATAAAACATTTATTTTATTTGTTGAGCCGGTGACGTAATATACATACATGCACATATAAACACACACACACACATATATATATATATATATATAATATATATGTCTGTATGAGTGTGGCCGAGCACCAAAGTCAACAGAGGGAAGATGAAGCCTGATCCATGACATAAGAATTTCCACCGGCATGAACTATATATATATATATATATATTATCATTAAAATTATTAAATTTTTTATTAAAAATAAAATAAAATATGTCTGGCTTTCAAAGTGAATGTATGGGCAAGTGCTTTTCTAACGAGAGTCAAACCAACCGACTGTCTCTACTTTCCTCTTACTTATTATAATATAACTATTATATATATATATATATAAAAATTTAATTATTTTATAAATATTTAATTATATATATATATATTTTAGAAATAAAAATTGCTTTCCAGAAATAAAATTTCCAGATCTTGATTCCAAATTCTTATGCAATTGACTTACTAATTCTATGCAATTAATTAAAAATATGGTTTTTTTAATATATGATGATCTTTAATTAATTAATTAATCGAGTCAAATCACTTAAATACTTTGCTTTTCGGTCAACCCACTAATTAGAAAATTTTTGATTATTGAAACGCGAGATTAAAAAATATATATTTTAAATACTAAACAATGAGCATACAAGAAATTAATTTTCACCTTTACCTAGAATATAAAACAGTCAAACATAAGATTGAAAAAGTTAAAAGTAAAAAGAAAAAATTACCCACACTTTGACCAATATAATATTAAAATACCTAACGGTAATAAGTATATGATCACAGTACAAATATTTACAACTTCTCATCGAGCATAACATCTGATTTCACCTTCAGGGAAATTTTGGGATACTACGTGGTCATTTACAGACTTTTGACTTTATTTTATACAACACCGTTGGATTTTTGATTGACAAAAGGACTTGATTAGTAAAAAAAAAAAACAACTCAGTTGACCGAATCTCGGCTAGCATTCGATGTCTAACCGACTGATCCCTCTAGCTTCAAGCTCATAAGTTGATTCACCTCGGCACCAAACTCATCTGGAAGCTCGTTGAAGACATCACGGCAAAACCCTGAGATCATTGCTGCCATAGCCTTCTCATAATCGATTCCTCTCTGCTGGAAGTAAAATAGCTGATCCTCACCGATTTTGGAGGTGCTGGCTTCGTGTTCAACCCGTGCAGTAGGATTCTTCACCTGTCCGATAATAATGATCGGGAAGCAATGAGACAGAGTGGCAGTGAGATCGATCAATTTCACATCTTTCAACTACCTCATATTTCCGAAAAAACTTATACAAGCCAAATGACCTATTTTACTTGACTGGTTTAGACCCTCAAGTTAGGCATCGTCCTTCCCAAAAAAAAAAAGCTATCTAAGATCAGCTAATCAAATCTGCCTTTCCGCATGAAAGTT